ACACACACACACACACACACACACACACACCCCTCACCACTTACTGCCATGACCCTTGAACATACTTTACCTTCTCCATCCCATAAACAGACCTCCCTCACTCACCATCCTCCTCGGTCTGTACCACCAACTCCTCACTCTCCATCCGGCCCTCAGGGTTGGACAGCAGCAGCCGCAGTCTGATGGTCATGAAGGGCCGTAGGCCCCGCAGGGTATAGTGGGAAGAGGTCTGGATCACCTCCTCAGCCTCGTACTGCTGCTGGTTGAACACGTACTGGTACTGCACCGTGAGGTTGTAGCTGTGGCAGCGGGTCACTGCATAGCCAAAGGGCTCCCACTGCAGGGTCAGCTGCCTGGCCCGAATGTCCACAATCTCCACATTCTGAGGGCCATGCACAGGATCTGGAAAATACACATGAGGCACAAGAGTTTTGAGGAGACTGCAGGATTCTGTTGCTGTTGCTCTTCTATTCACATCTCAATGTCCCAACAGTCACCTGTAGCATAATTTACATGAAGTTTTCTTTAAATCCATTTCTTTTTTTAATTTAAGAACATATATGTAGGACAAAACAAAAATAAATAGGGTGAAATTCTCTCTCTCTCTCTCTCTCTCTCTCTCTCTCTCTCTCTCTCTCTGTGTGTGTGCTCCCTCTCTCTCGGTTTTTCGAGACAAGGGTTCTCTGTGTAGCTTTGTAGACCAGGCTGGCCTCAGCTATTTCTTTCACAGAAAAATGTGCCAACCATAAAAATATAAAATCAGCGCTTCATCAGACTTCCACTAGGAGCTGCCAGGTCCTCCCAAGTGCACACACATCTGAGATGTGCTGATTTTGATGACCGTTGAAGTTGTACACTGCCTTCTGTGTTTAACTCAGCTACGGCCTCTCTCCATAGAGCTGAGGTTCCCTCCTTTTCTTCCTCCCATTCCTCCCATCCAGATGCACAATTTAGAACTTTGGTTACATCACAGACAGACATTCAGCCTTCAATCCGTCTGCATGACCACAATGCCGCATGAACTTGGCCTTTGAATTCACCTCCCAACCTCACCTATAACACTTACCATTTGCTAGCATCCTGCAACACTTCACTCTTCTTCCTGGCCCCTCCACTTCCTCCACGCACATTATTCTACCAGTCCACAGTACCACAACATTGTCCTGCACCCCCTTACTCACTGGTCTTTGTCCTAGACCCCACATATAACAATGACCATGTCTTACTCCATAATCTGTGCATTGATATTTATACCTTGCATGAAGTAAAGAGATGAGTTTTGCACAAAAACTGATTAAAACACAAGAATGGTGAAGATAGGGGTCTGATCAGCATTTAACCCAACACTACTTATAGGACATTATGAAGTTGTGTCATGTGTCTTTGTTTGTTGTTTACTTCATTTGTGAACTGATGATAATAGAAGCTAACCCCACTGCAGGAGAGGGTGGATCCACATGAAATATCCCGAGCCATTAGAGTTGCACCTGGAATTAATAAGCACACCATATGTAACGGCTGGGGGTTTATTTGTTGTGTAGCATAGGAAGAGTAATAATAATGATCATCTTTCATATGCTACACACAGCCTGAATGTCTTGTCAATGGCAGTGCTGGGTATCATCATTATGCAGCGCAGCAGACTAGGATATGGTCACCTCTCGGTCCTTGACTTCCCAGAATTTTTAGGGTTCATCTGCCTCTGCATCAAGGCACCAACAAGAACAGCTGTGGGTGGGGGCTCTTGATGCCCACTGAGTTCCCTAATTCACCTCATGGGATAATTGTAGCTAATAACAGAGCTTTGCCGAGGCACACACTTCACAAGTGTGTCGGACAAGAGGATGACCCATCCCATAGATGTGCATATTGCCTAAATCAGTAGCTCTGGCCTCTCCTCGACTGAGGAGTTCACACTCATTCTTCAGCCCGGTTATCCAGGCTGCAGGGTCCTTTGTACAAAAGAGATGTAGAGTCCCAAAAGCAAATGAGTGACTTTGTGAAAGTGACATCGTACTAGTTGCTCAGGTTCCATTATGCTGAACCTATGTGGAAGGAAAGATAAAATGTGTGGCTCTCACACACAGTTAGGGACTGTGACCAGGCATGGCTATTGTTTCTTGGCCGGGTATCTCTGGGTGGCCTAGGTTGTGGTCACTACAGATATAAAGGCATAGTGATGGAGGGAAGTCCTGCCTGGGAAATGTTAGCATCCCCTCCAGCTTCTGTCCAGCAGGATTTTTCTATCTGTAAAGATTCCAGAACTCTGCTGGCATATATCCCCAAGTAATACCTTTCTAACACTCCTCCTCTGGGAGGCAACACTTAACCCCAGGAAGATAGCCACCCCATGGGGCCCTCTACTCCCTCATTAGGAAGTGAGAACACAGATATTTAATATTCAGTTAACGTTAAGGACACAGTTTCATTAAGCATCTTAAGTACTACAATATTCTATGTCAAACACAATGTTTTGAGATGTCCAGTGTAGCCTATTACAAATAAATTACAAATAAAATACCACCAATGAACAGCATCCAGGAAGTACTTGTTCTACTTCCTGAATCATGATACTGGGAGGGAGGGACTGCCTACTCATTTGACAAATGAATGGAGAGGTCCTGGAACTTGGATAAAATAACAAGTCTAGCAAATAGCAAAATGAGTCTTTGGATATGAATCTTTGAATTTGCATCTGTCTGACCCCATGTCTAGTATGCAAGGGAGGTAAACAGTGCACCAGAATACCACAGCCATGGAAGGAATAATACATGCTGGGCTTGATCAACCTTACAACAACTGGCGAGGAGGCATCAGAAGACCTACTCTAGAGAAAAGCAAAGTTCTGAGAGGTGAAATTATTGTTCTCAGGCCACATAGTGAGAGGTAGTGTTGAGATTTATAGTCTGAGAATGTCCTACACCTTTGATTTTCTCTACTGTGACACCACTGGAGATAGGTCAGAATAGGAGCATAAACATGAGGCAGGCCACAGCTGTTGGGAACTTGGGAGAGACCTAGAAGAATGCTGTGGAAAAACAAAAATTCTAACACAAAATTGCTTTGCCCTTAAGAGCCTCAGACCTGCCACTAGAAGGGAATGCTGGGACTTAATGCTAAACTGTACACTGGCCTATCTTCAACCCCCACTTTCTATATTCTGCAACTCACAGTGCAGGGATACATATAAACACAGTCATGCTTATATTAGAGGTAGCCTTATCCCAAGGCCTTCCCTCTTTTCACAGGGCGCAAGGGGGGGTGGGAAGCATGTAGTTCAGCAAAGAACTTCCCTCCAGTGTAGGAATATTGGGCCACAGGCATAGACACTGGCTCTCCCATGCTCTGAGTTGGAGCATGGCTGGAAGCCAGACTCTGGTACTCAGTAGCTAAGTGACCTTGGCCAAGGGCACTTCATCTCTGTGCCTCCATCTCCTCATCTATAAAGTGGAAATTACTGCACTAATCTCAGAGGGCTGTTAATGAGCATAAAATGAACTGTAAAGAGAGAAAATTGCCTTTCCCTAACAGTGGGATTCCTCTTACACAGAACTGCCTTTCTTGGAGAAATGCTCTAAGAAGCCTTTAAAAGTTTTTGTCCTTATTCTTGAGAGTTTCACACATGTATACAACAAAATATCATATCTATTCCCATTTCCCCCTCCAACTTGCTCCATGTTCCTCCAACATAACATGACCCCTTGCAAACTTTATATTACTTTTTGTAATTGTTTATAACCCACTAAGTTCAGTCATTGCTAGCCATATGTATGGGAGTGTTTTAAGAAAAGGAGCTGCATTCCAAGGTCTTGCTTGTAGCCCTACTAAGCTACCACAGGCAAACAAACACCAAAGTCTTGGGAAGTGAATAAATCAGGAGAGGTAGGGAAGTAATGAAATAGTCTGTTGGGAGAGTCCACAAATATGACCCCTCCCCATGTGACTCTTGAACCTCCAACATGGTCTTCAGTCGTCACAAAAATATTTACTACAACTGGACTCAAGACAGAGCAAAGACATGCACTCACACTTTGGCCAAATAGGACTCTCCACAGGATCACCAGAAAAATGGGACTTGGAACACACCCATATACTACAGAGCCCTTGGGTGATGATTTTGGAGGTTCCCCTAGCCTAGGGATAGTAAGAGGTTCAGAGAAATCTCAGTTCAAATGCAGTAAGTTGTGGCTCTAGTGGCCCTCTGGGTAAGATACATGCAGCTGAAGTGTCTTTGTGCCTGTGGTAATTCACATTCTAGAAAGCAGAGGTCGTGGCTATAAGGCAGGAGCTCTGGGCTGGGTAGTGTTTTAGAGTCTGCCTTTAGCAAACAACTCTATGGTATATGTCACTAGGCTCTGAATGGAATGTAGCCGGATCTCCACTCACTACTGTCCATCATACTTAGCACTTGTCACACTGCCCAGGAATTGCTTGTTTATACATTTGTCTCCCAGATTGCCAGCGACTATTTTTTGTTTGTCTAGCATCTCTAGGATCTGTCAAGCAGACTTCCTATGAGATGACCAGATGGTTTGTTCTAGGAAAATGAGTTCTGATCACTTGTTTCCACCCCACCTCCCCTGTTCACGCCAACCCATCAGCAGGGTCTCCCAGGAGCACATTTCTTTTATGCTTTGTTTTCAACCAAGAAGATGTCCTGAAATCCTACATAAGAGAAACTAGTTTTCAGAATGTGTGATGGAAACACTCATGCTTTCAGTGTGATGACCCTCACCTCCCAACAAGCCTCACCTGCCAAACTGAGATTGTGTTCCAGTAATTGCCTTCCATGGGCAAAGTCCTGGGTTTACATTTGGGTTGGTGCAAACAAGTTGAAAATTGCTGAGAAAGTCTTGTGTGTGCAGTAGAGATTGGTTTGTTGAATTTATATCCCCCGTGTAAATACACCCAAGCCTTCAGCCTCTGGTCTCTTTCCCAGATAAGGCCCTGTCCATGTGACCTTCTTCAGTAACAGCCTACAGGCCAAGACAGCACACAACAACGCAGAGATGCTGACTTGTCTGAGCCGCTGAAAGTTATTCTCTCCTGGAAAATCATAGTGGCTCTAACACCTTTGTAGTGTGGCCTTGGGCCTTGTTCTGAGCCCATATGGATTTTGTCAGACTGACTTTTTCCTAGGACAAGGGCTCAGAAGCCAGTGCATTCTGCCCACCTGTCCCTGATCTCCCTTCCAACCCTGCTTCATGTCACTGAAACCCTAGAATATCCTGTTCCCATAGCTCCAAACTCATTGCAGGGACCACGAGTCCTACTCTCCTTGGTTGTCCCTTCTTGTGAGCACTTTTGAGGCAAAGAATGGCTGAGAAGAAGAGCAGAGAGAACTTGAATTTGAGGTCTAAAGACTTATTTGCACAAGTCCTTTAGGAGAGAAACAGAGTTGT